ACTGATGTTCTTACAGCTGTAGTGATTGATTCTATTTAAAAAACAGTTGTACGCTTGTCTTTGTGCAAACTGCTTCACTACTTAATTTTGTTTTGCAGTATTTTGACAATCTTAATGGAGTACCAGCAGAAGAATTGCCTTACTATGGTGGCTCAGTAGAAATCGCTGACTATTGTCCCTTTAGTCAAGAATTTAGTTGGCATTTAAGTGGTGAATTTCAGCGCAGCTCAGACTGTAGAATAACTGAAAACCAACCAGGTCAGTTTTCAAGACTTCAATATGGTATTTAAGAGACTACATTTGTTAATCTGGAATGGACTTGCTATATATCCAAACTAATTGGGTATGAAATTAGTTCTCCAGTATTAGCTGTGTAAAAGCTGTGCTGGGGTGAGAAGCACAGCACAACTACCTTGTACACCTAAGAAGCAAACACTCACATCTAATACAAGAATTGTGTAAAAGCTGAACAAAAATTAACCCCAAATGAATGCTCAATATTGCAGAGCTCCAGAATGCTGTAGGATATTACCTGTTTGTGCAGTTGTCTCAAACAAATAAATGCTTTCTGCCCTCAAGCCAGCAATCGCAACTGGCACTCCCTGGAGGCAAGCATATCCACATAGTTCTGATATAAATGCTTTTTTTTTTAATCTTGGGGTTTTTCCAACTTTATATTCAAAACAGTGTAATTCCCAAATTGGTAATGATTAACAATCTGAAAGATTCCAAAAGTAAACCTTGAATTGCATATGGAGACATTGACTTATTACAGCATATTAAGTTGATGTGGACTTTGTTTCCCTGGTAAGTTGCAAGTCAGTATATTCTTTCTACCTCAGATCCTACCAAAAATTATGGTGCAGAGAAATATGGACCAAACTCTATATGTCTTATTCAGAAATCTGCTTTTGTCATGGAACAGTGCAGGAGGAAACTCAGTTACCCTGACTGGGGTAGTGGATGTTATCAAGTAAGTATGTGTTGGATTTTAATCTTTATTTTTTTCAAATAACACTAAAGGGAAAAGTCAGGCATAAAATGCAGGCTATGACTGTTAGAACATCACAGCTGGACACTACGCATGATCTCAGCCTTAAATCACTAGATTGTATGACATGCTTTGAAAAAAAAAAAAATTTTTCCAACCATAAGCCTGTAGTTTAGCTCATGCATCAAATTAAGCATGTGACCACTGGGACAGCTTGCATGTTACTTCCAGTCTTGCTAGGGATTTATCTGTCTTACCCTGTGATGCTTTCTCCACAGCTAAGTAGGAATACTTACATTGGAATCTCCTGTTGCTGAAGCTTAATGTTAATTAGTCACGCTGATTTTTCAAAGGTGGAAAGCACTGTGCACATGTCAATTATTTTTCACGATCCTCCTCTTTAGGACTATCTCAATAAAGATGTCACTTTCAAGAACAGCACAACTCTAAAAAAGTAGTCATTAGCAGAAGCTGAATTGTACTTGTTCTCAGTTGATGATCTGCATTATTGCATGAAAAGAGTACAGTCAGTGCTTTAAAGTATTCTTGAACCAAATAGTTGTTCTGAGTGCATTAAAATACTTGCAGTTCTTCTGTTCTGTAATACCAGCTGTTTACTGAATGTAGCCTCCAAATCCCAAACCATATTTCTGATAAATCATAATAGACACTTGACTTTTATTCTTTTATTTTAAGGTTTCTTGTTCTCCACAAGGGCTGCATGTTTGGGTCAAGGACACTGCGTACTTGTGCAGCCACTCAGGCCAGGTTTTGACTGTGAGTGTTCAGATGAATGGCTGGGTACATGCTGGGAATCTGATTTGCCCAGCCTGTTTGGACTTCTGTGACTCCTGTCCCCCAGAGCGGGATCCTCCAGCTTCTACTTTAACAAGAGCTGCACCAATCGGTAGGTTGCCTTATTTGCTGAAGTGAAACTTTAATATTAAAAAGTCTGATAACTGTAGGTTTGCATCAGCTCTGACTGTTGGGGAACAGGAAAGGAGAGCCATGGCCTGGCTATCCTAAGATCCTAGATGTAGGAGTTAAAGGAAGATGGCAAAGGTGCCCTGCTTTTTGCTATGCAGTCATGGAGGGTAGTGGCTAATATAGGAGAAGTGTGACTACCTTATGTCATCTCTCCTTCTGGTAGTTGTCCCAGAAATCTAGGTTTAGCCTAGCAACTTACTAGAACATCCGACGTATGTTTTGAAGGCTGTATCATTATTATAACCTTCAAAATTACCACCTTGGTGAAGGATGAGTTCTCATTTGTATAACTTCCCATTGACAATGTTAATGCTGTAATCCAGAACATGAAAGATACCTGTCAGTTTGCTTTTTGAGGGAGGAAAAAAGCTTAATTCACTGACTGCCAGTTAATGTTTTGTCAAGAATAGATGGCTCTCTAAAAAGCCATTTTCTAAAAAGAACAGTCGTAACAGTATTTTGCACTAGTGGCTTATTTTTAAACCTTTAACCAATTCTTTAATTGTGGGGTGTGCGCTCTCTACTGCAGTTTCCAAGGAAAGACTAAACCTGTTTAGTTTACCTGTGCAGTCAATTCTTTTTTTCAGAGTGGTGCACTTGGGTTTGTGTGTACCATTTCACACAGTTTTGTTTTGTCTTGGAGATGGCAACATTTCAGTGCTTGGTGTCCTATAGGTTAGATATTAGAATGAGAAAGGTGTAACCTAGGAGAGTCACATCTTCTAGTATCTATTTGAATTCATGCTTGGTGTGAATGTATATATACACACACACGTATATATGTGTGTAATAGATACGTGTGTGTGTGTGTGTGTACACACACAAGCATACATATATATGTAAGATTTTTATCTGTGCAAGTTTACACTTGTGTCTATGGTTTTCTTAAGCCTCGTGGCTGTGTGATTATATACCATACGGACAAACTCCAATTCATGTATTTGGGGTCCTCCCCCACCCCCCTTTTTTTTCTTTTTTACCTTTTCAGCTTGGTGTTTTGTGGATTGGGGTTTTATAAGACTCATGGCCATACATATCAAAAGTATTAATAAAACAGTCTTTTGAAAGTGTATAGTTTTGAAATGCTGCTTCTTCCCAGTCATGCATAGGGAACTTCCTGTTCTTTTCTTGCAATACCAATAAGTTTCTCCTCATTTGTTCTCCTAATTGCTATTAGTGAAGGAGTGCAGGAATTTAAGTTTAAAAGGAGTAGTCATGTTATTTGGTTGGTTTAAATTCCTAGCTCTGAAAGGTAGAATAAATCATTGCAGATTACTGCAAATATGGTTTTGCTCTTTGGTGTTTTTTAGTGTTCTCTTTGTTATTTTATCTTCTCTTTAAATATAAAATTTATAAGCTTTATGGTGTTCTGTTTTTTTCCTTTTTTTTTTTAGACTTATGCTCCTGCTCGTCTAGCCTGGTTATAACCCTGTGGCTATTGATGGCTAACTTAATTCCCCTGCTAACAGGATTATTTCTCTGCGCATAGAGATAAGCATGGGGCAAGAAGATGTTCCAAGATCATATACCATCATGTTGCACTCCTTATTGTGGAGCATGGAGTTTTTTGTCTCTGCAGGCAGCTGTCTTCTGCTGAA